CCAGCCTCTGCCAAAAAGGAGCCTGTGACATCTGTGTGACACAGGGGCGGGTCCTGGGGATTCCAATCCTTGCCCTCCCTGACACCTGTCACTTCTCCTATTCCCGTCAGGCATCCCCCTTGAGTCTCCAGTGGGAAGAGCTCCCAAGAAGGGCTAAATATTCCGCCCCCACGTGCTCTCTGGCCTCCCAGCTCATCCCTTTATCCTCCTCCATGCTGGTGGCAGCTCCACCTGCAAAGGCCCAGCCACAGGGGAACAATGGGGGTCCTGAAACCTACAATGCAAGTGGCTTCCTTTGTGCTCCCCGGGGTGACAGAGGCCCCTGGCAGCAGAGTGGGGGCGGTGGCGCTCTCCCAGCCCTGCTCACCCCCAGCCTGACCTCTGCCCTGGCCCTTTGTGCAGGCCCCAAAAAGGAGAGAGAGGAAGGGGGAGGAGAGAAGTCCAGGGAAAGTGAGAGACTGGAGAAGGTGGTGGAAACGAGTGGAGAAGACAGACAGAGGGAGAGAAAGACAGAGAAAAGCAAAGTCAGAAAGAGAGAGAGAGAGACAGAGTGAGAAGCGGGGGCAGGGGGCGGGGCTGGAGAGAGACTGCTTCATTGTTTCATGCGGCTGCCCAGACCAGGGTCTCCTGACCAAGGGGATGTAAACAGTAATTTGGACCATGTGAAAATGCCATTTTTGTGGGTCACAATGGTCAAATAAAACAGCAATTCCGTTCAGTCAACTTAATACGTACAGGATCAGTCTGGTCTCCAGCCAGGGCCGAGTGAGCAGGTCCCACTCACTGTCCCATGTTCCCTTGGCTCAGTGTCTGGCTTCCTTTCCTGGACCAGAGTCATGGGGAACTGGGCTGATGTCAGGAAATCCAAGTTTAACCTAGTGGTTCTCAAGGAGAGGTGGTTTTGCCCCCAAGGGACATTTGACTGTCACAGCTGTCCAGAGGGCGGAGGGCAGGGATGCTGCTCAACACCCGAAAGGCACAGGACAGCCCCCACACTAAGAATTCTCCAGCCTCACTGTCAACAGCGCTGGGGTTGGGAATCTCTGCTTCAGACCCTTGTCCTCGAGGGGCTCCTTCAGTCACCGCTGAATGTAGCTTCTGCACACTCTGCTCCCACAAGAGAGGCGTGGCAGGATTTACGATGGTGTCTCACTCCCTCGTCCCCTCTGCTGTGGAGGCGCCCCTTCCTTAGGGACAGTCCCCTGAAGGAAGCTCAGAGCTCGCACTCCTCTGCTCCCAAAGTCCGAAGTTTGGGGTGGACGTTGCCCTGCCTATTCTTGAAGAGCATGAAGTTAATGATGACAACATGCAACACGTGGATAGCACTTTTCATCCGACATGCCGCTTCACACGCATTATATCCTGCAAGGCAGCCTATGCCTGGGGACTCAGATGCACTTCTAAATACAACGCTTTGCACAGCACACTACTGCATGATGCTTTAGTGATTAAACCATTGAGCAAACCAGCTGTAAGACATGTGGGGGATAACCAAGAAAGGCTGAAGATGGACTGGCTATCAGATGACATTAAAGAATTTCTGTTCATTTTATTAGGTGTAATAATGCTGTTGAGAAGATGTAGGGAAATGTTCGTATTTTTCAGAGATGGCATTCTGAAATATTTAGAGGTCAAATTCATAATGTCTAAGCTTTAAAAGTATTTCAGCAAAGAAATTGTTGAAGTGAATGGGGCAAAATGTTCACTGTGAAGTCGAAGTGACAGGAATGTGAGTGTCCACCACTCTATTCTCTCTACTTCTCTGAGATTTTTCATAATAAAAAGTCGAACAATTAGTTAAATCACATTAATTCAAAATATAGTAATTTTTAGTAAAACTCAGAATTTCAGATAAATTTCATTTTAGGTTGGGCTATATTTTACCAGGAAAAAGAACCAGAAAACATTTCCGATGTGAACACAGCATTTCCTATGATCACTCAGGAAACGCTTGCTGACTTGAAAACATAGCTGTCTAAATCCTCAGCTGCATCCATTTCAACATGATGTGTAACTAACAAATGAGCTGCTCCATGATGCAGCGGGATCTCTCTTCAACGCTTTCGGAGAGAACACATGGGTTTTATGCTGTATCCACATACCAGGGCTTCTCAACCTCGGCACTGCTAGCATTTGAGGCCGCATAATTCTTTGCTGTGGGGGCTCATCGTGTGCATTGTAGGATGTTTAGCAGCATCCCTGGCCTCTACCTGTTAGATGCCACTAGCAACCTCCCCAAGGTGTGATCGTCAAAAATGTGTCCAGAAACGGCCAAATGTCCCCTGGGGGCAAAACAGCACCTGACTGAGAACAACAGAAACATATTAGGACAACGACATAATTTATTTGAAATGCTCTCTAAACCAGTCTTTTCACCAAAGTTGACCCTCCATGTATAATCTGTTGCTTTGGCAATATATTGTATCTTTCCATTTCATATTTAAATATTCTCCTACAACACAACTATATGGATACCTCATAACTGAGTAACTAAAACTCTACTGAAAGATATTTGATTGTTTCCTTCTTGTGTCATTATAAACAGTGCTGCGGTAAGCAACCTTGTAGCTGAATCTTGGCACACAACACTATTTCCTTAGGCTAAATTCCTAGAAGTGAAATGATGGGGTCAAAGATACATTTTGATCCATGATGTCAGATCATCCTTCATAAAAGTGGTACCAAATTGCCCTCCCATCACCAGAGTAGGTGAGCACCTCTTTACCCAACCTTTTCAACACTGGGAATTTCCTTTTTTCCTAAATAGTGTCAATTTAATAAGTTTTTTAAAAACGGTATTCTTATTAATGTTATTTATTACTAATAAGTAATACTTCAGATGCTTACTGCAATTTGTACAAATTCTCTGAATTTCTAGTTTATTTTCTCAACCCAATGTTGTATTAAGATCTCTCTCATTGAATCGTAAAAGCTCTTTATTTATTGAGCATATTAATCTTTGATCATCCATGTCACAAATACTTTTCTCAGCTTTTAGTTTGCCTTCTATGTTGCTTATAGAGATTTTTGAAGTACATTAAGTTTTCTATTTTTATCTACTTAAAATCTTTCCCTTTATGATTTCTGACTTTTGTATCCTATCTAGAAAGGCTCCCTCACCTCAACAACACATTGATACTGATATGTTTCATTCTAGAACTTTTAGGGATTCATTAAAAATATAGAAACATTTAATCCTTTCGGATTTATGTTGGTTCACAGCATGAAGTAGAAATCTAATTTCATTACTATTTTTAAATAAATAGCCACTTTTCCCAGGACCATCTACTGACTGATTCATCCTTTTCCTCACTGGTTTATAGTCACAGCTTTACCATGTACCAAGTTCTTATGTTTACATTTGAGTCTATTTTTGGACTTTCTACTCAGCTTTCGTGATTTCTCTATTCCCATGCCAGTATCACACTAATTTAAGTACCCTGTTTACAATATTTTAAAATATCTGGTATGGCAATTCACCCTTCATTACTCTTCTTTAAAAAAATTCTTGGTTATTCTCGCTCATTTATTTTTCTAGCTGAACTTTAGAATCATATCCTATCCAATTTGTATTCTGACTAGAATTATGCTAACCTTATAAATTATCTCAGGGAGACTTGACATTTTACAATTTTGAGTTTGCCCTCCCAGAACAGCATAAGGCCTTTCATTTTTTTGTGGTCTTCGTAGTGTCCCATGGAAAAGGTTTAACCTTTTTAAAAATATACATTCTGCACTTTTATTGCTACATTAATTTCTGTGTATTTGATGTTTTCGTTGCTATTCTAATTGGGATTTTGTTTTCATTATCATAAAAATGATGTGCATTCATTGAGCACTTACTCAAGCCAGACATCCAGTCAGATGCTCTTTACTCACTCGCTGGGACACTCTTTTGTAACTAGTTATTGCTGATTTATAAGAAAAGTTACTGACCTTTCAATGTTAATTTTGTAATGACCTCCTTGCAGAATTCTCTTACCAGTCTAACAATTTTCAGCTGATTCTCTACGGGCGTGTTTTTATGATACAAGTGCTGGCCGGTGTATGAAGAAGGCACCATGGTCCTCTCCGGCAAACCCCCACCAGTCTTCTGGTTTAAGCTGATTCATCTGCCTTGTTTCACTCAGGTCATTTTGCGACCAAAGGCAAGAGCTAACTGGTTCTCCCACGCCCAGAACCTGTGGCCTCAGCCATGCCAGCCCCACACGCCAACCAACCACACTCCCAAGTGCCACTTTAACTGCCACCTGCAGAAGACAGCAGCTTTTAACTGGCCATCCCTCCATCTCTACCAAACACGAGTTTGTCTTCTTTCTTGGTAAGATGTTACCACACCACGGTCAGAAATACAAAAAAATTACCCCAAATTGACCAGCCAGTATAACTACTGAGAGGCACAATGACACAGTGGTCAATGCCACTCACAGGCTCTGAGGTCTGGAGACTTCAGCTGGAATCCCAGCTAGACCGCCCTTTCCCCATGTTGGCTGAGCTATTACTGCTTGGGGCTGGGGTGGGGAGGTGCTAAGAGACACCCCTACCCTCAAAAGTCTTCCAGGAAGACAAGCATGTCCTGCCCATGCCCCAGCTCCCTGTCCGTGGCCCCCTCTCTCCATTCACCAACCAGACAAACCAGACTCACTTCACCCTTGGACTCTGACCTCAAGCACTTGACTTTTTTTTTTTTTAATTGTGGCAAAATACACATAACATAAAATTGACCATTTTAGCCATTTTAAAATGGAACTGAACACTATTTATTTATTTTTTTTAATTTAATTTTTTTCCTTTTTCTCCCCAAAGCCCCCCGGTACATAGTTGTATATTCTTCGTTGTGGGTCCTTCTAGTTGTGGCATGTGGGACGCTGCCTCAGCGTGGTTTGATGAGCAGTGCCATGTCCGCAGCCAGGATTCGAACCAACGAAACACTGGGCCGCCTGCAGTGGAATGCGCAAACTTAACCACTCGGCCACGGGGCCAGCCCCCCCCTTTTTTTTTTTTTTGATTTAACTAAGAACTGAACACTATTTAGATCCAGAACTTTTCCATCACCCCAAAAGGAAAGCCTGTACCCATCAAACAGGCATCCCCATTCCTCCTTCTTCCCAGTCCTTGGCAACCACTAATCTGCTCTCTGTCTCTGGATTTGCTTATTCTGGGCATTTCATATAAACGGACTCACATACTAAGTGGCCTTCTGTGTCTGGCTTCTTTCACTCAGCATAAAGTTGTCAAGGTTTACCCATGTTGTAGCATGTATCAGGACTTCATTCCTTTTAACGTCTGGATGATGTTCCATTGCCTGGATACATACCATTGTGCTTATCCTTTCTTCCACTGATGGACCCTTGGGCTGCCCCCACCTCTGGCTATCGTGAAGTCAAGCACTTGACCTTTCATTGATTTCCAGTCTTTAACTCTCTGTTAGTTGAGGGTCTAACAGCAGCTGCTGGGAAGGCTGTGACGAGGACACTGAGCAGTTCCCTCAGCTGCCCCCTACCTTGGGCAGCCCCCCTTCCCTCCCAAGGTCTCCCCTAGAGCCTTTCATCTGGCTGACCCTGCACCTGTCCCCATGCCGACAACTCCCACTGCAAGTCCCACCTCCGGATGAGGAGCTGCGAGACCTTAGCTCAGTTCAGCCCCCCAATCCACCGTGGTGTTTGTATTTTCCATGTTGTTCTATTGTTTTCTTTATTGAGCACTTATCATAAGCCCACCACTGAATCAAAGGCTTTACTGGGATCATCTCATTTAATCCCCACAACAACTCCAGGAGGCAGGGCTATCATTACACCCTTTCACAGAGGAGGAAACAAGATCCAGCAGAATTCAGGTCTCAGGCTCCCAATTTAGTGCCCCTTCCTCTCTCCTGTCCCACATCCAGCACCTGGCCAATACTGCATTCAAGTCTCACCAGGTCCTTGTCCCATACTCACCCAACCTAGTCCCTATCTTGGAAAACCAAAGTCTAAAATGAGAATAACCCAAGCTTACCCAGGTTGCAGGTCTACATAAACCCAATTTTCTTCCATGAAAAAAATAGAGGTGCTGAGAGGCCACCAGATATGACATCTCTAAGGTCACCTCCCACCCCCTACACACACCCGGGAGCACCTGAAGCTGTTCACATAAATTCAGCTGCTGGGTTCCACGGAGTTCTCTCTCTAGACTCCCTGAGGGCCGCCAGGGTGCCCAGAAGTTGCACCTACCCCCAAGGCTGGGGCCGCTGGAGCAGTTAGCAGAAAGCCCCACGTAGGGCCCCAAACGGGGTGAGTGCAGTGGAAGGACAGGGCCTGGAGAGAGGACCCAAAACTCCACTGGGAGGTGGGGGAGCCCAGGAGTTCCCCCCTCCTGTACCTCCACCCAGGGTCCAGCTTCCACTCAGAAGGCAGCCATGCCCCTCCAAACCAAGGAGGCCAGCAAAGCACCAACAGCTTCTCGCTCTGTTGAGAGGCAGCTCTCCCTCCCACTGGATTTCTTTGTTCCTGAGTCTACTCTCCATTTCTGGGAGAGGCCCATGGGCAGGGGTGGGTGAAGTCAGCTCACATGGGCTTTGAGAGCCGATCCATGCACATCTCTTGAGTGAAGTCACGTGGGGTGGCCTGAAACCCTCCAGGGAAAGCGTACATACACCAGGGAAAGTGGCAAATGCTACACACCAGGCCCCGCCCAGGCAGGTGTTCACTATTCACCAGCACGTCTCTGCCCACAGGGACTTCTGCAAAGGACCAGGGAAGAAGCTGATCAGCAGAGGCAGAAGGAGAGTGAGCAGGAATTTCTGCAGAGGAAGAAAGCTTAGCAGGAGGAGCCCAATTCTACCTCAAGACGCAAGGTGGGGATGGGCCCCTGGGGACCACTGGTCCCACCCCTTCATGCTTCAGGGGAGGCAGAAAGGAGAAGTCTTTGTACTGTCCAAGGCCTCAGAGTCAGTGCAGAATCAACTCCAGATCTCGCGGCTCCAACCCAGCACTCCTCCCGCTGAACCAAAGAGCCTCCGTGAAACCCAGCGGTGTGCAGACCAACAGCTACCGCGGAGCTGCCGGAGGGTGAGGAAGGGCAGTGGGCCTCTTTTAGCCCCGGGGTGGAGTCTAACCATAAGTAGTCGGTTTGGAGTGGGTGGTCCCTATCTCCTTCCCCGCCCATTTCCCTCCTGGGTCCCCGGGCCCCAGATCTCCCAGGGGCACAGCGTTCCTCACCTCCCTGCCCCAAGAAAGCAGGTGGACAACATTTCCCGGGTGAGCTGGTCCTTCGAGGAGGACGGGTTCAGGGCGAGGTTATGTCCATCAGCTTTCAGGACAAATTCTCGGTTTATTAATTCTCCTCCGTTACAAAGGCAAAAGTAAATAAGCTTTTCCCAGGCAGCCTGGCACAGAGGCCTTCCCTATTCAAACACTGCAAGAATCGACAGGCTTGGAAGTACTGAGCTCCCAGGCCGGCAGCCCCCAGCCTCCTGGCCTCAACGTCCTGGCCTGCTGAGACAAGCGAGCCGGGCCACTGTGGTGGCAAGCCCCGGAGTCCAGTGCTCACGGCCCGAGTTCTGCAGAGAGCATGAGAGATCCTGCACCTCTGGGGACCCCCAGAGAAGGTCGGAAAGGGTCTGGCCAACGCTGTGAGTGACAAGCATCACACAGGCTCCCTGGCCCCTCTTTGGGGAAAGCACTCTGTAAGGGGGTTTATTTACCGCTTGTGTCCATTTGAATCATGTTTTTAAAGGTTCAGAAGAAAGAAAGGAAATAAACAGTAACAAAAGCAAAAGAAGTCAGAGAAGTTAACTAAGCCAGAAGCGCTAAGGGTGGCGCTACCGCTGTTTACACGCAGTTGCTCAGGAAGCTTGTTCGGTCGAGGGGATCCTGGTGTGCTGCACACCACCAGCTTCTCGCAGCCTCTACAGAAATCTCAGGAGTGATTTTCTTTTCTTTTCTATTTTTTTTTCCATTTGCCGATTTCTGGTTTGGAAGGGAAGAAGACAAAACCACTGCTGGGAACCTAGAGTCAAGCTGTAAGGACTAGAAAAACGGAGGCGAGAAAGATCAGGAAGACCTGCCTGGGCCTCCAAGAACTGTGTGCACAGCCCAGAGAGCTTGTCCAGGGGAGTTCTGAGGGGATGGGGGTGACTTCAAGGAAGCGAGAACCAAGACTCCATCAAAGGAAGTGTCTTCTAGCTTCAAAACAGCCCCACCCCAGAGGTGAATGAACTTGGGACGTTCCTTTGAACTGGGTTTTTACAGAAAGGGCTTCTCACCTCGCCTCCCAGGGACCCGTGATGCTGCTTCCAACCCCTTCCGTTGCTATGTCTGCTGTAAGTATCCCCCGCAGCTCAGCCAAAGGAGCCTGGAGACTCTGCCCAACGACGCAGGATCAAAATGTCTTCGGTTTCCCCCGGTGTGGCCTAGGCATTCCCTGAAATGCTCTTCTGTCCCTTCCTCTTTGAGGGCTGGTTGTTGACTGTGCAGACGCAAGTTCTAAATCTGTTTTCTCTCACGTTTCGGTGCAATGCCAATACTCCCCAAACTCCAGTCTATTCTAAAATATTCAAGCGACGGCAAAGGTGTGCATGTGCCCCCACAACTCCCTACACTCCTATCTGGACAGGAGAAAAGGGGTCCTCAGAGCTGGCACTGATGTCCCTGCAGGGGACTGTCACTCTTTCTGCCCCATTCCCACTCCTACTCTAAGTACCAGCACAGAAAAGCCCCATGTGACCCCAGGACCAGGGCCCTGGGTGCAGGCCTGGCCTGCCCTCCATCTGGCACCCCCTCTCCCCCTGCGAGCCAGGCTCTGAGCCCTCTGCATGCCCTAAGCCAGGGCTGAGTAACCTTTCTTGTACCAAGGACTGCTGGGGCCCGTGGACCCTTTCTCACAGGAAGATTTTTAAATGCAAAAGTAAAATACATAGGACTACAAAGGAAACCAATAATACTGAAATACACTTCTCCAAATATTTTCAAAAACCCAGATTTACGGTACAGTTACGTAATGTATGTGCTTCTTTATTAATGATTATAAATCAGGATCTAGCAGCGGGCCTGGTAACTTCCTTAATTTTGAAGCAACGGCGAGCACAAACAGTGTTTTGTGATAGCTGCACTGACTCTATCGTGATGTGCAAACAGCTGTGACTGCTGCTGCTGGCAGAGTCACCAGTGCTGCTGATCATGCACGTTTATCGCCCACCTTTGCAATGGAGGAAATGCGCAATTTCAGATAGAGGTGAGAACACTGAGGGTGTGCTTCCCCCGTCCCAGTTCACGGGCCCCCCTGGGTTCTGTGTGTGGACCCTTGTGCTTGAACGCCTTTTCATCCCCACCACCCATCTCCTTCCTTCTCTGCAGCCCCCAGAAGGAGCTCCATGCCCCCCACTCACATGGTGTTGCACTGGCAGAAAGCTTCTTACCCTTGGTGATGAGCAGGAGGAAGACAGTTTTGAGGATCCGAGGCGTGGAGAGAGGCTAGGCCACAGACACCACGAAACTCCATCCTCCTCAGTCCAGCCCAGGAGTACCACTCACGCTGAGCAGCACCCCAAAGGTGGTCCAGAGGAGTCCGGCCCCTCTAATCCCCCTCCACTCCATCCCACCACACCCCCCAGCAAAAGCAAGACGTGAGCAGCACAAGAGAAAGCCTACCTTCAGGCTCCTCCACGCTGGTGGCTGCGGTGGTTGGTGGGGCCACTGGGATCTCTTTGTGAGGTTCACGACGGGAGGAAGAGAAAACGAGGCAAGAAGATATTATTTTTGACCTTAGAAAAGAATGAGCACAGCACAGACTGCCCCCAGCCTCCCTGGACCCTCCCTCCCTCTCCCCACTCTGCAGCTCCAGGAGAGGATGGTCAGCAGGAGAAGGCTGGCGTGGGAGTCCCGGGCACACTGCCTTGTTCTGCTTCGGAAGCTGTCCCTCCACCTGGCAGGGACAGGAGTGGGGAGAAGGCAGGACGAGCAGACAGCATGGAGAGCTGTCCTTGACCTCTACTGTCTGTGTGTCGTCCACTTGACTTGGCCCCTGGGGCAGCAGAGAGGGGCTCCCCCGGCTCATCATGATGGGGCCACCCAGGCCCTGCTCACCTCTGACCTCGACTCATTGGTGGAGAAGGAGTCCATGGCAGGGGTGGCAGGTGAGGGGGCTGGGAGGTGTCTTACCCGTGCAGAGAGGGGTGTGCACCCCTGGCCCAGTTTCCCATGGGCTCCCATCTCATAAGCTAAGGCATTTTCTCGGTGGGAGTACAGGCTGACAATACGGAAGATGCAAGGGCCTGAGAGAAGCATGCACTTTATTGGGATCATTCCTTTTCTACCTAGAATGGCATTTAGTTCCTGCTACCCCTGGCTCCGACCCTGTGCTCAGTAATGGTGAGGGGTTTAGCCAGCCTCTGAGAGGAGGCATCATAGCTCTGGCTTCCTCTTTCTGGACGAGGCCAAACCACGGACCAAAAGCCCCTGAGGGGTAGGGACTCTCCTCCCCTGGTGACGAACCATGAACTCTGCTGACTCTGGCCACCGTCTGACTCTTCAGGGTAAGACCTCCCTCGGACCCCCAGACTCCGGACCAGCTGGGACCTGAGGCTTGGTGGTTGGAGACGGGACATTTGGGCCTGGGGGCAAACCTGAGGGCTACCCCCAGCAGCCGGCCTTTGCACCTTCAGAAGGAACGGGCAGAGGACAGACACAGCCCTCAATCTGGGGGGGGGTGGGGGGGGGTGAAATCTTGTTCACAGGTGATGTTATCAGCAACAATGACCCACAGGTGCCCTGTGACTCAGCTCATTAAGAAGCAGACCTTGTACCAGGCCCACTTTTAGCCCTCAGGGGCTACGTGGTCCCAGCAGAAACATTCCAGAGGCAACATCCGGGCCGTCCAGCCTAATCCTGCAAGTCCCCATGGACCAGAGAGCTGGGCCCATGGCCCCAGTGGCTGCCCCACCCCAGCACCTTAGGCCTGGCTCTGCAATGTACGCTAGGGCCTGTGGCTCCCAGAGCAGTGACAAAACAGGCTCAAGCCCCCAGCCATGGTGGGTGCCCGGAGCCAGGTGCCCTCAGGATGGAGACCCAGGTCAGACTGTTGGCGGAACACTCGCGCCAGCATCTGCCTGCCCTTTGTGAGGAGAAGGGACAGAGTGTGTCAGAAAGCGAGAGCTCCTGTTTCCTGAGGTTTCCATCTGATGCTGAAACATCAGCTCCATTTTGAGGTCTTTCCCCTTGGCAACTAGAAGGGTTGGCTCCAGCCATTTCTGAGCAACCCACCAGCCCCTGGCTGCCTTTGTGTCCCCCATGTTTTCATAACCCCAAGGGGCAGCACTGATTTCCTCCCAGCTTTCTAAACATGTGCACTTTGCAGCTTTTTGGACGGACAGAAAAGAAGGAATTTGGCAAGTTGTAGGACTCTGACAATTAGCTGCCGTGAAAACCCTTTCACCTTGCTCGGCCCTGGACGGCTATTGACCTCAATTTCCCGAGGCTCAGATTTGAGTTATTTGCTGTTACTGGACCCCTGCAAACATCCTGCAGAAACATCTCCTGATTTAGAAACTGGTCAGAAGAGGGGCTGCAACCCACGCAGCCCCATGTGTTCTGGATGGAGGGCCACACCCAGCTCAGGCTGGAGAAAGGTAATGTCAAAGGCTCCTGCCAGGCGTGTGGGGGGCTTCTCCAAAGGTCTGTGCGGACCGCTCCCAGGACCCCAAGGGGCTGGAGGGTCCCCAGCCTCTTGCTTGTGTCTATGGTTATTCCAAGTCCCTCGTGACTGACAGGAGAAGCCAGCGCCCACCCCGAGCTAAGGGACGCCAGAAGCCCTCCAGGCAGGGTCCACAGGCCTCCCCCACAGAAGCCAGCTGGTGAACACTCTGGGCTCTGCAGGTCATGCAGTCCCTGTGGCCACGACTCAATTCCACCATCATAGCTCGAAGCAGCCACAGGCGGCATGTAAACGAGTGGGTACGGCTGTGTCCCCATGAAATGTATTTATGGACACAACTTTTCATTTTATATAATTTTCTCATGTCAATATATTATTCTTTCGATTTCTTTTTCAATCATTAAAAAAGGTAAAAAACCACTGAGCCACCCAAAAACAGGCAGTGGGCCCCGTCCCCAGGCCAGAGCATGCTAACCCTGATCTAGAGAAGCAGGCTTCGTCCCTGGGGGGCTTAGTTAGCTGGGGAATGGACAAGGCCGAAGCCGGGGCCAGCTCTCAGCCAGGCTTGACTCACGCAGGGCTAATTCTCTGCCCGTAATGCCCCTGCGATCCTACCAGGTGTAAAATATTAAGACTCTCCCGAGCCAGGGCCCCTGAGTGACCCCTGTCATCCTGCTCACCCCCTCCCCAAGTTCTAGCAACTAAGGGGCTAATGGCTGGCCTGATGGGGCCTCTTGGACCCTCAGGGGTGCTGTCATCCTTCATAAGGGCAGGGGGAGCCGTGCATGGGGGCCCTGCTCAGCTTCTCTCAAAGGCCTCGGGTTGTCAGTCTTCTCTGTTCCGAATCAGGTGGAAGCAAGGGAACACTGGAATTCCTGCCACTGCCACCACAGCAATAGTGGCCCCTGGTACAGGCCCACCCCAGGCCCAGGGTCACGGTAGAATATGGGACTAGGACCTGGGCTGAGAAGTGGGGCCTACTTCTCCCCAGGAGCAGGAGACTCAGTCTTTGTCAGGACCGAGAGCAGCAGGCTGGCTGTGCTGAGCCC